GGATATTCTCTCTTTCCCTGTGAGCCTTTTTCAAGTTTTTAGAGACCCTTTCCCAAGTTCCTAGGACCAAAGTTCCCTCCTCGGGGAGCCATAGATGATACTTTTCCACTGCTTGGAGAAGACCTTGCATCTTTCCTTTTATTACTGTTACACTGTGTTGTTTCAACAAATGCGTGAGCACAGCACAGTAAGTTTTAGACATACTTTCACTTTGTCCCATGATCCTGTTAACATTTCAACAATCCCCCACCTGGATTCTCTTTGCAAAACAATCCCCCAAATTCACTTTACCTTCAGTGGAGTTACGCAGTTGTTGTGTGGGGAGTCCTCCTCTTCACGGAGCTCTCCTTCTGGCTCCTTCAGGTGCCACTTGTGGGGTCCAGCCCCACCATCAAACAGCGTTCTGAGTAGCAAGGGTGCAATTATGGAAGAAAGAGAGGATAGTAAGCAGAGCACAGGGAACCCCTCTCCATTATACAGAGAAGAGGTGTCACGTTTATTCACCAATAGGATTTTATACTCATCAGGCCTACAAACCTCTTGTTGATATTTACACAAGGAAACGGGCAATGTGTTAATCTTGAATATCCTGGGCTCTTTAGGTGAACACTTCATAGGAAGTATCAGGTATGTGAGAGACAAGCGGTATGAATCACTCCTTAGAAAGAAGAGACAAGTGGAGCTGACAGCGCTTAGAGAGAAGCGTCCTTTAACTGCATGTGTGAGGAGCCAGGTGTCTGTAGGAGATAGCTTTATATTGTCATTTTATGGGGGGTGGATGTGGAGAAATGTCCTTCCTGTAAATTTGTGCATTGGATGCATTCATCGTCTTGGGACTGTGGAGGCATGCCTCACACTAAGGCTGGCGTGGCAATCCTGTGGTCGCAAACCATGTACATTTCCTTCCAGATCTTCAGTTTCCCACACATCTGGATGAGGGAGACCACAGGCATAAGGCCATAACAGTGTCGAAGGATTTATGGAAAACTGAATGCTTAAATAGGGCATAGGAGCGCAAGCAAAACTGTCACAAAAGCATGATTGGTGACAGATCAATACATCAGAGTTGCATCAGGACTACAGAAGTGAGAAGGGGACCGTGATTGAGACCATGTACATTATGCTAGATAGAATAGTTTTCAATTCAGGGTTGGTTCAGGGGCACACCAACATAGGCAATCAGGATATGTATGACTCTTGACTATATGCCCTAGTACCCCAATTTGTACTAAGGGCACACCTAGGCAAGTCCCTGAGGGAGACACTGTCCCTGCCTGGGCTGGCTAGTTGGGTGGTTATCCATGATCAAAAAGAATTCTGGTTAGCTTAATCCATGTAGAGACTCAAAATTGAGTTAGGGTTTTTATTCTAATCCATAGTCTTCCACACATTTAGTGCTCAGAATTTAAACACCAAATCCAGGTCAAAGAACATAGCCTTTGATATGGATTACAACTCAATGTAAAGAGAACAAAAATCCTCACAATCGGACCAGTAAATAGCATCACAAAAAATGGAGCAAAGAGTGAGGTTATCAAGGGTTTGATTTTGCTTGGCTCTACAGTCAACACTCATGGATGCTATTGTTATTAGGTGCCTAGTTGGTTCTGACTCTTATCATTGTTAGGTGCTACTGAATTAGTTCCAACTCTTAGTATGTTGTGTACAACAGAAAGAAATACTGCCTAATCCTGCACCATCTTCAGAATTGTTGTTATGTTTGAGCTCTTCATTGAAGCCACTTTATCAATCCATTTTGTCAAGGGTCTTTCTTTTTTTTTCCCTGCCTTTTTACTCTCCCAAACATGATGTCCTTTTTCAGGGACTGGTGTTTTCTGACAACATGTCCAAAATACAAGAGACAAAGTTTTACCATCCTTGCATCTAATAAGCCAGTAGATCAGAACTGAGGGATAGTGCAAGGGATTCCTTCCCACACTTGTGGCTGGCATCTTAAAGAAGTCAAGGGAAAGCCTTGAATTTCTGGACAGCAAATGAGAAATTAGGGTATCTTATGGGCTCCTAGCCTTGCCGTTGCCTATTTGACAGTGTGAAGGACAGTCTCTTTTTTAAGTTGGAATGTCTGACCTAGCACCTGAAGGCAACAGTCAAAAAAGAGGTTTGATATGAGCATCTGGTGTCTGAACTGAATTGACGAGTAAAAAGTGGAGATTTAGACTTAAGATCGATTATCATCTTTGCTAATATAATCAATCATCTGGCTTATCACCTAGGCTTACATTCTGTATGAAATGGGGAAGCTGTAGAGGGTTTGGGGCAGAAGGATGAAGTGGTGTGACTTAAAATTATTTTGAAGCATCACCTGATTGCTTTGTTGAGACTTCTTTGTGTTTCCTCCAGGGAACCAAGAGGAGGATCAGTCAAATAGTTGCAATCATCCAGTAGTGAAGAGTTGGTCCAAGACACCCAACTCTTCACTACTGGTAGCAGAGAAGGTAGTGAGAGAGATTGGGCCAAATATATTTTGAGGGTAGAAATTTCAGGACTTGCCAACTGATTGGATGTACTGCTAGGGCAGTGTATGCACCATCCCTGCAAGGGTCTCATTAAAGCCCTGCCTGGGTTGGCCCCATAAGAATTCCAGTGCTTTCCCTCTAATGTAGACATCTCAAAAGCCACTTAGAAATCCCAAGAATCTCAAGTGTTATCTTGTCAGCTTATTAGAAAGATTTAAGTTGTGAGAACAAGAGAGGAGTCAAAGATGACTCCAAAGCTTTGGGCCCGAGTAACTGCAAGGGTGGTGTTGCCATTCATTGAGATGAAAATAGAGCAGAGTTTGGAGGAAATGGGAGCTTCAGATTTGGGCATGTTACGTTTGATATAGCTACAGATATTTAAGTGGAGAAATCAAATAGATAATTGGTTATATAAATCTGAAGCTCAAGAGGGATATTTGGGCAGTTGATATAAAGTTGGAAATTGTCAAGATAGGTGTGGAATCCAGAACCATGGGTCTAGATGAGATAATTAATATGAGATCTCATATGGAGAGATATGAAAATAAAAAAGCCTTTGTAAAAATGAAAAGGAATCAGATCGGCGACTATGAGGAGGCCAGTAATACAAGAAGAAACGGAAAGAAGAGAGTACAGCCCTGGTGGGGCCTTGGTAGGGTCTGCTGTTTGTTGGATCACATGGGTAGGTTTATCGTGGTTTCATTTCTGGTCTTATTAGTCTGAAAAATAACACTAGTATTTATATTAAAATCATGAGAGAATTTCAAGTGAGTGACATTCTCCTGGCCTGTTGATATGTTGAGTGAGTTGGTATGTTGGTATGTTGACTGAATTGCTTATCCAGGTGGTATAGTAGGCTCTGGGCTTTGTGATATCAGGAAGCACATTCTAGCCTTTGCCACTTGAGACGAACTCATCAAGCCAGGTGCCGCTTGTTGCCACTCTGTTTTCATTGCTGGACATTGCATTTATCAGAATTTTAGGTGTAGGTGAAGATGAGAAAGAGAGACACATTTAATTAGACCAGAATAAAAGCAGCTGTGTATCAAAAGGTCACAAAGGACCCAGAACTCCTAAATGTTGTCTAAAGACTAAATTAACCTAATAGTATTAATTTATGACAAGGATATGGAGAAATGTACAATCATTCACTAGTATATAGCAGAGTCCCTTTTCTTCTCTCTTTAAAAAAATATTTTACTGGGTTTTAGGTGCGAGTTTAACTAGCAAGTTTGCTTTTCAATCAATAGTTCATATACAAATGGTTGTGTCATACATTGCAATACCTGCAATGTGTCAGGTGTCTCTCATTCCCTCTGTGTGTGTGTGGCATTAGATATGGATCTTCTTTATTTTTTCTGCAAATGGCTGTCTAGTTTAGCCAGCACTGTGTATTAAAGAGATTTTCATCTTTCCATTTAATGGACTACTTTGAACCTCGGTTGAAGATCACCTGTGTACAGGTGGATGTACTTCTGGATTCTCAATTGACCTAAGTGTCTGTCAGTATAACTGTGCCAGACTCGTTTGGCTGCTGTGCCTGGAGAGTAGATTCTGATAAGAGTCGCAGGGCTCCTGCCTGTGCCTCTCCTTCAGTAATGCTTTGCTTATATCTTCTTTATACTAACAACAAATGCGAAACTGTGTAAATACCTATCATTAAAGAGCTGGATAAATAAATGTATTATAGTCACTTGAAAAGATGTACAGCACAGAAAGGGGGTGAATGAGGCTTAAGTATATTGTAATAGAGCTCAATGCATTGCTGAGTTAAAAATACACACATTTATGCAATATGTTTTATAAGTGAAAACAGATTGTGTAACCAATGATAGTAAATTGGTTGCAGGGAGTGAAGTGATTTTTGAAATTGTACTTTAGCTTTATCTGCAGATGAAGTAAACATGAACAGATTCCACCCCCCAGCCCCCAGGTTTTAGACATACAGGTGTTTACTATCTTTTTGTACTTTGTGGTCACTTTAAATTAGCTGTTGGTGGGGGGAGGGAGGGGAAAAGAGAAGAGCTGATACCAAGGGCTCAATAGAAAGTAAATGTCTAGAAAATAATGATGGCAACATATGTACAAATATGCTTGATACAATTGATGTATGGATTGTTATAAGAGCTCTAAAATCCCCCAATAAAATGATATTTTAATTAAAAAATAAATTACCTGAATGGTGTAAAAGAATGGGGAGGTATGTTTCATAGGATGAGCATCCAAGGAATAATTTATATATAATGTATTCCTATTCACCAAGCCATTTATTGGTATCAAAACAAATGAGATGTTTTATGATAGTGGTCTTTGTGTGTGTGTGTGTTTTGTTTTTAATAATTTTATTGGAGGCTTGTACAATTCTTATCACAATCCATACATCCATCCAATTGTGTCAAGCACATTTGTGCATTTCTTGCCATCATCATTCTCAAAACATTTGCTTTCTACTTAAGTCCTTAATATCAGCTCCTCATTTCCCCCCTCCCTTCCTGCTTCCACCTCCCTCATGAACCCTTCATAATTCATAAATTATTATTATTTTGTCATATCTTACACTGTTGGACGTCGCCCTTCACCCACTTTTCTGTTGTCCATCCCCTAGGGAGGAAGTTATATGTAGATCCTTGTAATCGGTTCCCCCTTTCTACCCCACCTTCCCTCCACCCTCCCGGTATTGCCGCTCTCACCACTGGTCCTGAAAGGGTCATCTGTCCTGGATTCCTTGTGTTTCCAGTTCCTATCTAGCCAGATTTGTAAGGTAGAATTGGGATCATGATAGTGGGTGGGGAGGAAGCATTTAAGAACTAGAGGAAAGTTGTATGTTTCATCATTGCTACCCTGCACCTTGACTGGCTTGTCTCCTCCCCACAACCCTTCAGTAAGGGGGTGTCCAGCTTCCTCCAGATGGACTTTGGGTCTCCACTCTGCACTCACCCTCATTTACAATGATAAGATTTTTTGTTCTTTGATGCCTGGTACCTGAACCCTACACCCCGTGGTCACACAGACTGGTATGCTTCTTCCATGTGGGCTTTGATGCTTCTGAGTTAGATGGCTGCTTGTTTACCTGCAAGCCTTTAAGACCCCAGCCTATATATCTTTTGATAGCTGGGCACCATCAGCTTTCTTCACCACATTTGCTTATGCGCACATTTGCCTTCAGCGATCGTGTCGGGAAGGTGTGCATCGTGGAATGCCAATTTAATAGAACAAAGTATTCTTGCATTGAGTAAGTACTTGAGTGGAGGTCCAATGTCCATCTGCTGCCTTAATACTAAACCTATAAATATATGCACATAGATCTATTTCCCCACCATCCCATATAAATATATTTACATAAGTTCATGCCTGTATTTAGGATAGTGGTCTTTTTAATGTGTCCTTGACTACATCATACTAAGCCGAAAGAGTGAGGATCCTTTTTAGAATAGATCATATTTCTTACTCTGATTTACCATATATACTCGTGTGTAAGCTGAGTTTTCCAGCACATTGTTAATGCAGTTTTTGTGGTAAAATTAGGTCCCTTGGCTGATAGTCTGGTTGGCTTATACTCGAGTATATACGGTAAATTCAGTTATTAGCTACAAGCATATCAACTCATGGGAAGGGCATTTGGTTCCATAGCTATCAGCATAGAGAGGCTAGCATGACAGACTTGGATATATAAAAGCATATTAACATTATTGTGTTTTGTCTTTTTCTTCTCTTGTCTCCTTTCTTCCCTACAGGGAATCTTTAACCAGTTTCAGTGTAGTAGTGAAAAAGTGCTTCCATCTGACACTCTCCGCAGTGCTCTGGCAAAGACTTTCCAGGATGAGCAGCGTTTCCAGCTGGGAATTATGGATGATGCTGCAGAATGCTTTGTAAGTGCCTGGCCTCTGCGCTCTCTGATGGGAGAGGGACTGCTGGTCTCCATCAGGATCTGGCTACATTCCCATGAAGCTCAAAGTGCCCTGCTCTACAAAAAATAAGGAGTTTCTCTAGCTTCTCAGAACTCTAGAATATCTCTGCTATCATAGAATGATTTACTTAGTGAGTTTATTTTTCTTGAGGCTTAGTGTAGTTTGTGCTTGCTACTGCATAAATCAATAGTGCTCAACTTCAGAGTAGTGAAGGTTCATTAAAACACAAATTCTCTGTGAGTTCCCAGCTCCTTAGGTTTAGAGTGAAGCTCAAGTATATCCATGTTTAATGTGACTCTACATCTCTAATATCCTGGGTGATACTGATACTGCTGGCCTGGAGACCACATTTTGAGAGCTCCAGCATTACTAAAGATAATGAAAGATGGAATTTCTTGAGTCCCTAGCATATATGTGATATGATATCTAAGTCATTACACTGCCCTTCTGACTTTGACTAGAAGATCCCATTTCTTCTTTACAAGACTCTCCCTATGTAGCTACTAAAAAAATCTGAGAGTGACATACATTTCATCATAGGGTTAAGGTGGGCCCAAATCAGAAGTCCTTCTGAGAAACTAGATCATGGGTATATTTCTGGTAGAACTGTAAAATGGTATATTTTACTTTGAAAAGAACTTGGTGGTTTCTTATAACACTGAACATACAAGGGACTTCCAATAATTTTTGTGGATAAATAGAAGTAAAAGATAATGAATTTTCCCCACTAACTTTGAAAAGTCTCCTCGTATATCTGCCATGTAACCCAGCAGTTGTCCGCTGGAGCGCTTATCTCAGCTAAATGAAAACTTAAAGTTAACGCCTATCCATGAATGCTCATGCCACCTTTACAAATAACGACCCACACTAGAAGCAATCCGAATGTCCTTTAGCGGGCAAATGGTTAAATAAACTCTGGTACATCTATACTGTGGAATCTCGTGAGGAATGGATTATTGACTCACAGCAGCAATTTTAGCTGGATCTCAAGGGAATTAGGCTGTGTGAAAAGACTTGTATCGAAAGTCTATGTATGATTTTATTTACATTCTTGAAATAGCAAAATTTTAGAGAAGGAAACAGTCTAGTGGTTGCCAGGGGCTAGGGCTAGGGATTGGCTGTGCTATAAAAGGATAGCATGAAGGAACATTTTCTTATCCTGATTGCAGTGGTGTTTGCATGCATGTAGTAAATTGCACAGACCCCCCCCCACACACACACAAATGTATGTAACATTGGTAAAATCTGAGGAAACTCTCTGGCTTCTGTCCATGTCTCTATTGTCTAGTTTTGATATTCTATACCAGCTATTTTTTTGTGATGAAACTTAGGGAATGTTCTTGGGAACCTCAAATACATTTTTTATTAGACAACTTCCTGCTTAAAATTTTAAAAATAATCTTACCATAGTGAATGATGGGGGGAGTGCGGAGTGGAGATCCAAAGCCCATTAGTAGGCCACTGGAGATCCCCTTGCAGAGGGGTCT